ATACCTTGTTCTCCCCCTGACTAGCAAATCCTTGAGGCACATTCATGTAGATTTCATCCTGTAAATCACCATTTAAGAATGCATTATAAACATCCATTTGGTGAATGTGCCAGCGTCTTGACACAACCAATGCTAGAATAGTCCTAACAGTAACCATTTTTACCACAGGAGAGAAAGTTTCTTTATAATCTATTCCCTCCTTTTGACTGTACCCCTTTGCTACTAACCTTGCTTTCAGTCTTTCTATCTCCCCAGTGGACTTATATTTGATTTTATAAATCCATCTACAACCAATTGGAGATTTCCCTTTGGGCAAATCAACAAGCTCCCAAGTGTTATTATCTTGCAAGGCTTTTATCTCAGCTTGCATTGCCTCTACCCATTTTGGTTCCTTACTTGCCTCTGCATAAGTAGCAGGTTCTGTATTTATAGAGGTTGCTGCAACAAACTGCTGATAATTCTTAGATAAATGTCTGTAAGACACACAATCTGATATAGGAAATTGTACTTCCTTGTTAATATTTAGAGACACAAAATCCTTCATCCATACAGGTGGATGTACCCCTCTTGTAGACCTTCTTGGAACAACTTCTTCCAGATTTCCTTGATTCTCAGAATTATGTGTTTCCTCCATATGTTCCATCACAGTAGTCTCTTCTACCATTTCCTGTTCACTTTCCTCAGAACTTTGCATTTCTTGTGAACAGTTTTGATCAAGAGTAATATCTCTAGTCACACTGTCAACTCTCGCAACCCAATCTACATTTAGTAGTTCAGCATTCATATTATCCACAAAAGGACCAACTTCTTTGTTTGTGAATGTAGTCATAAAGGGAAACACTGACTCCTTGAATATGACATCTCTACTTACAAAGAAGTTATTTGATGATAAATCAAACAATATGTAACCTTTTTGAGTTTCTGAGTACCCCATGTGTATTGAAGATTTTGACCTGGATGCTAACTTATCATTCTCTGATAGATTTTTAGCAAAACACAGACATCCTAACACTCTTAGGTGTGTCAACATTGGCCTGGTTCCATATAGCCTCTCATATGGAGATTTATCTCCTAGGACTTTACTAGGAATCCTATTTATTAGATATACAACAGCTAGTACACACTGTCCCCAATACTTAATAGGAATGTGCCCTTGAAACCTCACGGCTCTTGTTACCTCTAAGATGTGTCTATGCTTTCTTTCAGCTACTCCATTTTGTTGTGGAGTATAGGGACATGACCTTTGATGTATTATACCTCCTTCTTTAAACATATTTGCACATACAGAGTTTACAAACTCTGTACCATTATCAGACCTGACCTTCTTGACTGTTTTACCAAACTGAGTTCTTACAAACTTCAGAAACAGTGATACACATACACAGACATCAGACTTATTTTTCAACAAAAAAATCCAAGACATTCTTGAGAAATCATCAACAACTGTAAGGAAAAATCTATTACCATCAAAAGTTGCCTTCTTATATGGACCCCAAATATCCAAGTGAATCAGTTCAAAAGACTCAGTACTTTTAATACTACTAACAGGGAACACACTTCTTGTTTGTTTTGCATAAGGACACACACTACATTTATTCAAAACTCTGTTCATACAATCTGAGTTTACAGGGAACAACTTGTTCAAAATGTGAGATGACACATGTCCTAGTCTCTTATGCCATACACTCATGATCAACACATCATTATTTTCAGATACTAATAGAGCCTTACCTGCTGCATTAGTCTGAACTTCATGAGCCTGAACTCCATGAGCTTGAGCTGCATTTCCTGTGTTTGCAGTCCCTTTATTCTGCTTAAGCATTTGTAGTATTTGGCTGTATTGCTCTCTGGTAAAAGTGCAACCTTGCAGGTGTGTTGCACACTCATCTTCGTCATTATTCCCAGCAAATGACTTGCTACTTGTACCAGGCACATTTGTGTTAAATCCATAGTTAAATGATGTAGAGCTATCAGACACACCATCATATGCCTCTCTTCTTGTATTACTGGATTCATTCACCACCATGTAGGCAGTATTTCCTGCTCCATTAACTGCCTTCCTCTTTGACTTGAATTCAGGAGGGTATCCAATTAACTTGTAACATTGATCTTTAGTATGACCCTTACACCTGCAGAATTCACAGACAATACCAAAGTTTTTCTTGAACTTGTTAGGTACTTGTGCACTGGTAGACCCTCCAGATCTTGAGTACATTGCTAATGGATCAACTCCAGACATACTTATAGAATTCATACCCATGCTATTACTGTTAGAAGCAAATCTTTGACACTCATCACTGACAACCATAGCATACGCCTGGTTCACTCCTGGTATAGGACTCATTAATAGAATTTGACTTCTAGCCTGTCCATAGGATTCATTCAATCCCATAAGGAATTGATAGAGTTTTTGCCTATTTACATGATCAATAAAACCTCTTGATCTTTCACAGTTACAACCAGGGGATGGGACTAGAGCTTCAAACTCATCCCACAAGTTCTTAAGTTTTGTAAAATAGACAGACACTGAATCTGTACCTTGCTGCAGTGTTGCAATTTCCTTATGCAGACTGAAGGTTCTTGATCCATCCATTCGATTAAATCTTTCCTTCAAATCATTCCAAACACTTTGAGCAGTGGAGGCAAAAGCTACTCCTCCTAACAGACTTTTTGAAACAGAATTGAGAAGCCATGAAAGAACCACAGCATTTACTCTTTCCCATTGATTCCTTAGTTCAGGAGACACACCATCTTTTGTACATGAACCATCCACCAACCCAATCTTGTTCCTTCCAAGAAGAGCCAATCTAATAGACCTACTCCAAACAACATAGTTTTCAATTCCAACAAGTTGAAACGAAATGAGATTAACTCCACTAATGTCAGCTGGGCTTAAGAACAGTGGATGATTGTAATCCATTCCTTGACTCATTGACGTAGCTGGTGTGGGATTATTGTTCCCAGGATTTCCACCATTACTGAAATCAGTAACATGGCCACCATTGTTAATTTCTTGAGACATATCAACCATCTTCACTTTGTAATTGCGGAAGCTTAATCAACTTGAGACTCTGATCTTCAGAAATCCAAGATCTGTAACTCACACACCTGATCTACTCAGACTTTGATCGATGCTCTGATACCATGAAAGTTTATAGAAGATGACTTTTAAAGAAGAAGAAGATGAATTGAAACAGAGTAGTATATTATTTCTTCAAAAAAATTACTTTACATTGAGACTCTAGTCTTGTATTTATACACATACTCATCCCTCTAATTGTTTCTTGAATGTAACTAACTTTTAACTAACTAACTTTTCCTAACTGACCAACAGTGTTCTAACTATAATTTGGACCTTTCCTCTTTTGCTTCTTGAGTTCTGTTAACACTATGTTAGTGAGAATAATCATTATATGAGGTATAAACGATTTAAAAAGTAATGATATGAATTATAACTTTTATTTACATATGCAATAAATGGTTAGTAGATATATATGTAGAGTTATTTTTACAAATTATAAACTTGTGGGTCAATTTTTGTATTTGAAAAATCTCAAATCATGATTTTTCGAGAATTTGAAATTTTATCTTATGATATGAAATCAGCGCGAGATCGCATATCCAAACACTAAATTCATCTCATAATTTTATATAACAATTTCATATTGCATCTCCGAACGCCTACTTACTCCCTTTAAACAGTATTCTAATTGTTTCAATGCATGTGTTCTAATTTATTGGATACAGAGTTTAAGTAAACAAATGTGATTTTTGAATGTTAATATCTTAACCTGAAGTGTACTCAAGTATTAAATTGTCTTTGAATTTTGTTATCCATATTATAAGATGTCTAAAGTCTAAACTAAAGAGTTACTCCACCATTTCAATTATGTGTTTGTCTTGGTCACTATCAGGCAAATGATTTTTTCTTTGATCATAATATTTTTAAATATGTTCTAGATATTTTGAATTGTTAAGTAGTGTGACTTATTGTACATTTTATGTAGTTTATAAATATGTAATTTTTTTTTAAAAAAATTAAAAATTCTATATCTGAATTCACACCAAACATTAATTAGTTTGATTATCATATTTCAAATCAAGTAGCACATACATAAAAGATTGATAATCCAAATATTCTATGCAAAGAATAGATATAGTAGTAAAGACGATGGCCCATTTGCCATGCCATTATACACAATGGCAACATTAATATTGGTTAGAGTCGGTAGTAGCTACCGTTGACGAAGTTTCGATCTAATTAAGAAATATAGATTTTAGAGATAGTCGTCAATAATTTATGGGACCGTCTGAGCATGAAAATTGTGAGTATTTGAAAAAAATAATTTTTATTTTTAAAGTGAAAAAAATACTTTGAAAATTGAAGTGTGTTTGACTATGAATCTAAAAGATCATTGAAATTTAACTTAAAGTTGAATTCCAAAATTTTATGATCAAACGTGTTTTCAGGAATTCAATATCAGGAAATAATAATAAAAATATATAACAAAATGGCCTTTTATACACCCCCTCTTATCTAATTTATGTGGTATATAATGAGTTTATTTTACCGCAGTTCTTTTATATGCCTTATAAATATTTTGAATTGTCAAATATTATGACTTATAATACTTTTAATGTAATTTTTAAATATATAAGTTTTAAAGATTTCGGGTCAAAATTTACGATAAAAATTAAAAAGTAGGGTGCCAAATAAATTAGGATGGAAGGAGTAACAATGTAATCATTTTGACTAATTCTATTGGTTCATTTAATATTCCCGCCAGTTACCCAACGGTTCAAACGCGTCAAATAAGCATGCATGCGGCTATTCACATTGTAGACATTAATGGCTTCAATAGACTTGTGAGTTGGGACTGATAATAATATGCAAAAGTTGTCAACTTGGCTGATCGAGTAAGCCTATATAAGCTCATAAATTATGAGTGAGGAAAAGCACAAGTAATCTGATATATCTGAGAACCTTTGTGATCATAATCATGGGTTCTTCTTCTCAAAAGTGGGTTGTAGGGTTACTTCTTGTCTTGAGCATTTTCTTGGAATTGAGTGCCATCACTTTTGGTGATGATAAGCTTGAAGAGTCGAGGTGGGGTAATGATAATGGTTGTGGACGATTTGGTAGAAGAGGATGTGGTGGACGTGGAGGATGGGGTGGACGCAGTCCAGGTGGTGGTAAAGGTGTTGGAGGAGGAGGAGGTTTTGGAGGTGGAACTGGCGGAAGAGGAGGTCTTGGGGGAGGAGCAGGAGGTGGAGTAGGTGGTGGAGGAGGTCTTGGTGGAGGAGCAGGTGGTGGTGGTGGACTAGGTGGCGGAGGAGGTCTTGGGGGAGGAACAGGAGGTGGAGGTGGACTAGGTGGAGGTGCGGGAGGTGGAGTAGGTGGCGGAGGAGGTCTTGGGGGAGGAGCAGGTGGTGGAGGTGGACTAGGAGGTGGAGGTGGAGGAGGACTAAGGGGAGGAGCAGGTGGTGGTGCTGGTGGTGGAGCTGGTGGCGGTGTTGGTGGTGGTGCAGGAACTGGAGGAGGTGTTGGTGGAGGTGGTGGCTTTGGTGGTGGAGGAGGAGGAGGTGTAGGTGGAGGGTCAAGTCATGGTGGTGGATTTGGAGCAGGAGGAGGTGTAGGAGGTGGTGCAGGAGGAGGGCTTGGTGGTGGAGGTGGAGGTGGAGGTAGTGGTGGTGGTGGAGGTATCGGATGTGGTTCTGGACATGGTGGAGGGTTTGGAGCCGGAGGTGGTGTAGGTGGTGGCGTTGGAGGAGGTGCTGGAGGCGGAGGTGGAGGAGGAGGCGGTGGTGGTGGAGGAGGTGGTGGTGGTCTTGGAGGAGGTTCAGGCCATGGTGGTGGATTTGGTGCAGGTGGTGGAGTTGGAGGCGGAGCTGGTGGAGGAGTAGGAGGAGGAGGCGGATTTGGAGGTGGTGGTGGAGGTGGAGTAGGAGGAGGATCAGGTCACGGTGGTGGTTTTGGTGCAGGTGGAGGCGTAGGTGGTGGGGCCGGGGGAGGATTAGGAGGAGGAAAAGGAATAGGAGGTGGACATGGTGGAGGAATCGGAGTTGGAATTGGAATTGGTATCGGAGTTGGTGTTGGTGCTGGAGCTGGCAAAGGTGTTGGAGTAGGGAGTGGGTCCGGTAGCGGTGGTAATGGCCGATGATTTAAATATCTCGTAGCCTAATAGCTACACTTCGGCAGTGCCAAGATACATAATGTTGCTTTAGACTTTAAAGTTGTTAAGCTACAACTATAATTAAACAAATGAACTTGTATGATTTGGCTTTCATATGCATTGTATTTTCCTTAATTTCCAAAGTATCACCCTCACATTATGGAAAGAAACTATATATATATATATATATATGAATCTTGTTAAACTACTCATATTGATTCTAAGATTTTTTTTCTGTCTTACCATTAAGTTTAGTGTCTGAGGTAACAATTTGAACCCAAGGGCTTCATTTCCTTATTATCAATGTTCTTATTTAAACTATCGTAAACAAAACTTGGCTGATTCTTTTTCAACGTAGAAATAATAAACAAAAGATTTTTGTTCGACAGAAATAAAAATCTATTTATTGATTGGGATATATGTGATGCTATATGGATGTTATTAATTAAAATAAGGCGTCAGTTCTTGTAATTAATAAAGCACAAAAATGCTTGTTATGGACCATAGTCACTACTTTCTAATATAGATCATCTTAAATCCACTACTTCGAAAGGATATTTTATGTACCCTACTCAATAAATTCTCCTCTTTCTTATTGTCAAAAAAGTATCTTAGGACCTACTTTTATCTAAAACAATTAATATGCAACTCTTTCGACAGGTCAACTTTATTTTTGCATTTTATTTACGTACTCTCATTTAAACGACGTACTAATCGTTTCAATTTATGTGTTTTAATTTTGATTGGACATAAAATTTAAATAAGGAAAAATCACTCCACACATCTATTTAAGGAGTAATATTACAGGTTTTAGATCTACTTTTAATATATTACTACTTATAACATTTTAATTGCAAGTTATAACATATCATTTTTTATTTATAAATCAATTAATTTCACTTTATTAAATAATTAGTCTTTTATAATTATATTTTAATTAATAGGTGAAATAAATAAAATTAATAAGAGAGAATCAATGGTAATTATCTATTACACTTTTTTTACGGATTTTTTTTTACCTTTCACACATAATATTACACATTTTTAGGGATTCTTTTACTGTTCACACATCAACCACCCACCTCCACTAGCACGTTTCTTTCTTACTCACACGCCAAAACAATATCCCCACCCCACGTTCAACCTTTACTCAAATGGTAAATCTTTCTCACTCATCATCATCATTCTTTTGCTTTGTACATTCGAAAGAAGAAACAATAAATCTTTCTCTCTCATCATCTTCAATCTTCTTCTTTGTACACTCAAAAGAAGGACAAATCTTCTAAACAATACAAAGAATCAAGAGTTTAGGTTGACAAAAAAACATGTCGAAGAATAAAAAAACATCAGCATACACTTAGAAAGAGTCCTAGATTCGTTAGAAAATGTTTCTAATGTTAAAATTGAGGCTCCATCTTTTAACATCTTGACTCAAAACGCCGCCGACCAACATGAATGCAAATCTGGCAAACAAGAGTGTTACCACTCCCAAGAAGAAACAAAGCCCAATAAATTTGTATATGATCAAATTGAGTATATTTTTTACATGAAATTGATATACTATGTAGTTGGTATGATTTTGTATTACTATGTTTGTGCATTGGCATGAAGTTTGTGTAAATCTGGTATGACTTTTCCACAGTTGTATTTAAATTATTTTCCGATTGAAGTTGGTGAATTGGGGATAAAATTTATATGAAATTTATATGTATTCCTATCTTTTTGTGATTTGTTCATAATAATTAATTCATTTTCTTTCTCAAAATTATTATTTTTCTTCAATGTTGTTTCAATGATTGTGGTATGTACACATGTCTATTTGCTGAATATATTAACAATGGAGTTTTTGATATAGATCCCATTGATATCGATGCAAAGTATGATCGTCAAAGGTATGCCACAATCCTATGGCAGTATGGAAGAAGCGGGAATGTTGATGGCGCAATTATTGAGAGTGAAGTAACTGGAGTTGTTGCTAGCAAATTTGATGGACCCCGCATAACAAAAGAACATGCTCCGGATACTACCAATTATCATACACCAAGATCATGAAAAACAAATTTGAGATAGTTGATTGTAGCTTAGACTTTTAATTATTACATGTTTTTTAATTTTTAAATGATATATATTTGTTTTTGCTACAGTTTTTTACAACAATATATAATATGCACTATTTTACATTATCAGATTTATTCTTCTCAGATTCAGTTGGATACCAACTTCATACATTTTTATTTTTAGCCTTTGTTTTAAATTTTCAAGTTAGATACCAAGTGTATACAAATTGGATATCAACATTAGCCAGATTTCTATTAAATTTTTAGTTTTGAAAAACACATTATAAACATTGTAAAAATTGAAATATTTTGAGATTCCTTTTATAGGACAACTGTATACATAGTTGCACAAATCATCGTACTTTTTGAAATACTTTATATATCTTGGGAGTTGTGCTCATATAAAGTTAGGCCTTATGTTAAGCTCCATTGAAACTTTTTAATCTATGATGTAATTTTAAACTTGTCTCTGCTCTAAGGCTTTCAGTGGACGCTAAATCCCTTGTAGTTTTTACTCTTATTTGACAACTATTTTGTTTTGGGAAAATTGTATAAAACAACAAATTATTAATTCAAATTAAATGTTATAACGATAGTTTATTTTATTTGTAATTCGCAGCAAATACCTCATTTTTTTGTCATCTGATTCGGTATACAATTAGCCATTTTATACATTTCAGTATAAAATGTATAAAATGTGTTTGTGTTTGTATAAAGCGAGAGAAAAGTATATATAAAAATACAAATACATATTTTTTCGTCCTATAAATACACTTAGAATTATACAAATACAGATCTTATTATACAAATTACAATGTATAAATAAATTTATACAAAACTAAACAATTTGTATTAAATTGGATGTATCTAGCGAATTATATAAATCAAAAGCTCCATAGCAAAACATAAAATTTGTTATGAAGCGCAATTATGCAAACTATAGCTATAACATGATTTTTATGTTTGTTATATGTAAAAGTTGCTCTAAATAAGAACAATTAATATATGTCAAAAAGTATATATGTTAGGACCTACTTTTATCTAAAACAACTAATATGCAACTTTTTCAACAGGTCAACTTTATTTGTACATTTACATAGGCCCGTTTGACCATACGATATGAAATCATGAGATAAAGTTGAAATTTTGTTTGACATACGATTTAATTTTTTTTATGTTGTATGTTTTCTCATAAACATAAAAATTTCATAAGTTGTGAAACTATTAATATTTCCCAATTAATTATATAATCTTACCAAATAAGCATAAGCTTATAAAATCACATGATACACTATCACAAAGATATTCTTAAAAAATACAATATTTATTAATTAAACTTTAATTTTATAAAAAAATAAAATTAAACATTATTAGTTGTGGTGTACTAGTCTTTAATATAATCCTTCCACATAATACGAACAATTTTTCACGTTGAACTTGCATTTCTCGTTTCATATTACTGAGAAGACGAACCAACATTGTTAAAGTCTATAAGATTAGATAATGCCTTTGAATTAGGGACAGGTCATGATCCAAAATAATTTTTTCAATCCAAGGGCATTTTATATCAAACTAGTTGTGTCGAAACACCACAACAGAATGGTGTGGCTGAGCGAAAACATAGACACCTCTTGGAGACATGTAGAGCTCTATTGTTTCATTCAAATGCTCCCAAATTTTTTTGGGGAGATTGCTTACTTACTGCCACTTATTTAATCCACAGATTCCCATCTTCCGTTCTGAAACAAAGATCTCCCTATCAAGTTTTATTTGGGACCGTCCCTACCTATCAATCTTAAAACCTTTTGGATGTCTTTGTTTTATTTCTACCCTTTCTAGAAATAGGGATAAACTTGGTCCAAGAGCTTTACCAGGAATATTTTTGGGGTACCCCTTCGGAAAGAAAGGCTACAAAGTTTTGCTCCTACAAAACAATCAAATCTCTATTTCTAGAAATATTAAGTTCGTTGAAGATGTTTTTCCTTTTTCTTTTTCTAGTCCACTTACTAAACTATTCCCCCAATGGTTTTCCACCTCAGACGTCGATGATGCGTTATTTTTTAAGAAGCAGTCTCATGTTTTCAATGACAATGATTCTTTACTGTCTACTCCACATTCTCCTCCTGCACCAGATTCTCTTCTTATTGAATCTCCAGTAATTTCACCAGTTATATCTTCAGAACAAAGTACCCTGCTGCGTACATCACAAAGGGTTCCTCAGAAACCAAGGTATTTATCATATTACATTTGTGCAAATTCCTACTCTATGATTTCTCCTAATCCTCCTTCCTTTTCTTTTCATTGTTCCTCTTTCACTGGTTTGACTCCCTATAATCAGAATTTGGTTACCTCTATTTGTCAAATATCTGAGCCTTCTTCCTATTCTCAAGTTGTAATGCATCCTGGTTGGAAAATTGCTATGGATAATGAGTTTGCTGCTTTAGATTCTAACAACACTTGGGACATAGTTGAATTACCACAGGCAAAAAAGGCATTGCCTTGCAAATGGGTGTACAAAGTAAAGTTGAAATCAGATGGTTCCTTGGAGAGATTAAAAGCACGATTAGTAATTCGTGGAGATACACAAAGAGAAGGAATAAATTATAATGAGACTTTTTGTCCTGTAGTGAAAATCACTACAATCAGATGCATTTTGTCAGTTGCTATAAAGAAGGACTGGAAAATCTACCAGCTTGATGTGAATAATGCATTTCTCCATGGTGACCTTGAAGAAGAGGTCTATATGAAATTTCCTCTAGGTTTGACACCCCCTTCTTCCAATCATGTGTGTCAACTTCGTAAATCATTGTATGGGTTAAAACAGGCTTCTCACCAATGACATGCTAGATTATCTTCTGCCTTGAGCACTCGAGGGTTTCATTGTTCCCTCAATGACTACTTTCTTTTCTTCAAGATCACCGGGAACCTTATCACTATTTTGGCTGTATATGTCGATGACATATTAAATACTGGAAACAATATAGAGGAAATATGTGAGATTAAATGTTTCTTGAATTTTGAATTCAAGATAAAGGATTTGGGAGAAGCTCATTACTTCTTAGGAATGGAATTGGTGCGAGAAAATGGGGGAATGATTATTACCCAAAGGAAATTTGCTTTAGAGCTTCTCACTGAGTTTGATTGCCTCGAATGTCGGGATGTGTCTACTCCCCTGGCTCCAAATTTAAAGCTTTTTTCCACCTCCGGTGAACCCCTCACAGATCCTACCTTCTATAGACGACTTTTGGGGAAACTGAAATTTTTAACCAATACCAGGCCAGACCTTGCTTATACCGTCCAACACCTTAGTCAGTATATGCAAAATCCTTGTTCTGGTCACTTGTAAGCTGCTTATCATTCCTTAAGGTACCTAAGTAAAGATCCATGCTTAGGTATTTTCTTATCTCCAACTCATTCTTTCCAGATTCAAGCCTTTTGCGACTCCGATTGGGCGGCATGTTCTGATTCACGATGCTCTGTAAGTGGTTTCTTCTTGAGTCTTGGGGGTTGTCCAATATCTTGGAAATAAAAAAAACAGCCAGTTGTTGCCCTTTCTTCCGTTGAAGCAGAGTACCGCTCTATGCGTCGTCTTATGGCCGAGATCACTTGGATTGTTCGACTTCTTCAAGATTTCACTCCATTTTTTTCAGTGCCTATCAATTGTGACAGTCAAGCAGCAATTCACATTGCCAAAAATCCTATTTTTCATGAACGAACAAAGCATATTGAACTTGATTGTCATTTCGTTCGTGAGAAACTTCTTGATGGCTTGATTTCGTTATCATTTGTTCCATCTTCTTCTCAGTTAGCTGACTTATTCACCAAGGCTCTAGCAGGGCATGTTCATCGTTTTCTATTGAACAAGTTGAGTGTCCGATCTCCGGGCATCAACTTGAGGGGGGGGGGTGTTGTCAAAAAAAATGGAAATGGCCTATCTTGAGTTGAATCGTCTTCTGATATATTCAGAGAAGGAGTCATATTTTGATGTAACTAGGACTCCTCATGTAAATAATCTACCTTGTAATTATCTTCAGTATTTATCTTTTAGAGTTTGTATTCATCACGAGAGATTCTTTTTGTATAAATACACAGCTTCTCTGTACAGCCGAGGAATCAAGAAATACAAAGGAAAATTTCTACTTCTAGTTTTCTCTTTAATTATTTTCATTGTTACCCATTGTTTCATAATGTATTGTATTGTATTGTATTGTACTGTACTGTATTGTATGGTAGATACAATGTTTGGCTAGACTGTATTGTTTGTTGTTGTTTAATAACATTTTATTGTTTGGTTTGACTGTATCGTATTGTATTGTAATTTATAAATTTACTAAAATATCCTTAATTATTCTAGGGTAGAAGGTTTGACTAGAATTAAATAACATAAGGTAAAGGGTAAAATAGTATTATGAAATAGGAGTATTATGTAAAGATATAATTGAAAAAAGAAATTAAGTGACAATGGAAACATCAAAATAAATAGATTAATAAACCAGTATTTTCTCTTTGAACGAAAACCAAAAAATCTCAAAATAAGGATCAACCCATAATCACTAAAAGGAACATCATGAGACACTTACTAGTTATTCGAATTGGCCACCAAATTGGTTGTTTCATAAAATTGGGGTTTTCATTGTTACGTAACAATGAAATTTAACAATACAATACAACACATTTTAAGTAACAATCAAAACAAACATTGTAGGTATAGTAACGATACAATACAATACAATGGATAACAATGATCCAAACAGAGCGTAAGTTTTCCTAATTCTCAATTTTTTTCCGTAGAAAACATTTTATTAAAAGGCATGCTCCTTGATCTGATGGCTTTTTAGATATTTAAGAATCAATTTAAGGAGAAAATTGATTCCCCTTTGCAGAGAACTTACAGAATATGGTTTAATTTTTCCAAACTTCTCATCATTTTGTACTTAATTTTTTTCAGAAACCTCTTTCTTAACATCCATTAATTCCACCAAAAATCAACATCTGTAAAGTATCTTAGCTCAGAATTAGTTCTCGATTCCTCACCATATATACGAAAGAAAGCTCCGCCAATGTTTCTTCTACCGAAGGGTATTATAGGGCTGTAAAGATTGATGTCAAGGATATTATGGAGCCAATAGATCAACAGAGGGTATTTTTATACCAATTCCAATAATTCAAGAATATTTTAGGCCTGTTTTCGTAAAAAGTATTCTAATTGTTTCAATGTATGTGTTTTAATTTATTGGATAGGGATTCTAACTCAAGACGTTGAGTTATAATTTTCAGAGCTCTGACCAATCGCACTAAGATCATTTTTGTTTATTTGGGTGCACATTTAAATATATTATATTTTTATAGACTACCTATACATATATATACAAAAAATTTAAAAGTTAGCGAGTGCATATGGGTCCTCCCCTGACTCCACCATTTCAATTATGTGTTTCTCTTAGTTACTATCAGTCAAATGATTTCTTCTTTGATCATAGTATTTTCAAATATGTTCTAAATATTTTGAATTGTTAAGTATTGTGACTTATTGTACATTTTATGTAGTTTATAAATATGTAAATTTTATTTCAAAAAATTAAAAATTCAATATCAAATTCACACCAAACATTAATTAGTTTGATTCTCATATTTCGAATCAAGTAGCACATACATAAAAGATTGATAATCCAAATATTGTATGCCAAGAATATACGACATAAAGTAAAGAGATGGCCTATTTGCCATGCCATTATACGTACACAATGGCAACATTAATATTGGTTGGAGTCGGTAGTAGCTTGCGTTGACGAAGTTTCGATATAATTAAGAAATATAGACTTTAGAGATAGTCGTCTATAATTTATGGGAGCATGAAAATTGTGAGTATTAAAATTAAGTACGATAGCCAAATAAATCAGGAGAGAGGAGTAGCAATATAATCCATTTTTGACTAATTCCATTGGTTCATTTAATGTTACCGCCAGTTCCCCAACGGTTCAAACGCGTCAAATAAGCATGCATGCAGCTTTTCACATTGTAGACATTAATGGCTTCAATTGACAAGTGAGTTGGGACTAATAATAATATGCAAAAATTGTCAACTTGGCTGATCGAGTAAGCCTATATAAGTTCATAAATTCTGAGTAAGGAAGAGAACAAGTAACCTGATATATCTGAGAACCTTTGTGATCATAATCATGGGTTCTTCTTCTCAAAAGTGGGTTGTAGGGTTACTTCTTGTCTTGAGCATTTTCTTGGAATTGAGTGCCATTACTTTTGGTGATGATAAGCTTGAAGAGTCGAGGTGGGGTAATGATAATGGTTGTGGACGATTTGGTAGAAGGGGATGTGGTGGACGTGGAGGATGGGGTGGACGCGGTCCAGGTGGTGGTAGAGGTACCGGAGGAGGGTTTGGAGGCGGAGCTGGTGGAGGAGGAGGAGTAGGTGGTGGGGGAGGTCTTGGTGGAGGAGCAGGTGGTGGTGGTGGACTAGGTGGAGGAGGAGGAGGAGGTCTCGGGGGAGGTGCAGGAGGTGGAGGTGGAGGAGGTCTTGGGGGAGGAGCAGGTGGTGGAGGAGGACTAGGGGGAGGAGCAGGTGGTGGTGCTGGAGGAGGTGTTGGTGGAGGTGGTGGATTTGGTGGTGGTGGAGGAGGAGGTGTAGGTGGAGGGTCAGGTCATGGTGGTGGATTTGGAGCAGGCGGAGGTGTAGGAGGTGGTGCAGGAGGAGGGCTTGGTGGTGGAGCTGGTGGAGGTGGAGGTAGTGGTGGTGGTGGAGGTATTGGAGGTGGTTCTGGACATGGTGGAGGGTTTGGAGCCGGAGGTGGTGTAGGTGGTGGCGTTGGAGGAGGTGCTGGAGGCGGAGGTGGAGGAGGAGGGGGTGGTGGTGGAGGAGGTGGTGGTGGTCTTGGAGGAGGTTCAGGCCATGGTGGTGGATTTGGTGCAGGTGGTGGAGTTGGAGGCGGAGCTGGTGGAGGAGTAGGAGGAGGAGGCGGATTTGGAGGTGGTGGTGGAGGTGGAGTAGGAGGAGGATCAGGTCACGGTGGTGGTTTTGGTGCAGGTGGAGGCGTAGGTGGTGGGGCCGGGGGAGGATTAGGAGGAGGAAAAGGAATAGGAGGTGGACATGGTGGAGGAATCGGTGTTGGAATTGGAATTGGTATCGGAGTTGGGGTTGGCGCTGGAGCTGGCAAAGGTGTTGGAGTAGGGAGTGGGTCTGGTAGCGGTGGTGGTGGTAATGGCCGATGACAAATATCTCATAGCCTAATAGCTACACTTGGGCAGTGCCAAGACACATAATGTTGCTTTACACGTTAAAGTTATTAAGCTACGGCTATTAAACAAATGAACTTGTATGATTTGGCTTTCATATGCATTGTATTTTCCTTTAATTCAAATGTATCATCCTCACATTATGAAAAGAAACTTTATATATGAAACTTGTTAAACTACTCCTTTTGCTTCTTAATTCCTTGGATGTTTATTCTTGATGATTTAAATGAACAATAATCAACACTTCTAAGATTTTGTTTTCGTCTTATATATCATTAAGTTTAGTGTCCGAGGTAACAATTTGAACCCAAGGCCTTCATTTTCTTATTATCAATGTGCTTATTTAAACTATCTTAAACAAGACTTAGCTGATACCTTTCCAACTTAGAAATAATAAAGTAAAGATTTTTGTTCGACATAAATAAAAATCTATGCATTGATTGGGAGATAGGTGATGTCATATGGATGATATTAATTAAAGAGGCGTCCCTTCTTGTAATTAAAGCATAAATTAAATTGCTTGTTATGGATCATAGTCACTACTTTCTAATATAAGATCATCTTAAATCCACTACTTCGAAAGGATATTTTATGTACCCTACACAATAAATTCTCCCTTTATCTTATTGTCAAAAAAGTATGTTATGACCTACTTTTATCTAAAACAAAAATTATTAATATGCAACTCTTTTCAACAGGTCAACTTTATTTTTGCATTTAGTTTACTTACTTTTGGATTTTAATCTACAGTGCAATAATGTACTACTCTTTGAATCTTTTGACTTGTCGGATATTTGAACCAGAGAGTTACACTGTTTCAATGTGTTTGTCTTGGAATTTTTAGCTATTGTGGCTTAGTGTATGTTTTTATATAGTTTATAAGGATATAAATTTTATTTCAAAAAATTAAAGATTCTATGTTTGAATTCACACCCAATATTAGTTAGTATGACTCACATATTTCGAATCAAACTAAATAATTTGAAACACATGAAGTACTAATAAAAGATGAAATTATTGTTTAATGGATAAATAAGAAAAGTAAGAGATATAAATTAAAACAGAATAAATTGGCATCGATACTTATATACCTTTTAATTAGGGTTGGTCGTTATGTTCTTTGCTTCGATTTTATCAAATTTTTGTTCGATTTTGAAAAAAGTGTGCAACGAATATCGAACTGGACTAATTCAATTTTGTTTAGTTCTTTCTACTTCGGTTCGATTTGGTTTGTTGTTTTTAAAACATTTTCTCGGTGCGAATGAAAAATAAAATGAGGACAAAATCAAAGTATAAGACGCCTAAGAATTTAAATGATGTGTCTCACTGGGCTTAAAATACCATATTTGTCTTTGTCAAGAATATTGTGCCTCCAGTTACATACTATAGGTTCCTTTACAAGACATGATACATCGGCAAAATTAAAATACATTTGAGTTCCTCTTGAAAATTAATATTTGAAGTTAACTATTTGAATTGTTAATTTGTTGATACTTTGATTTATTCATGAGTGATTTAATTGCTAGTTGACTTTTATTTTTTGTTTAAGGAAATGTCCATAAATATATATAATTTTTAATTTTTCTTAGAAAAAAATTAATAAAAATTCAGCTCTTTGATGCACCGAAGTTTTAAGACTCTTAATCGAACATCGAACTGAAGAATTGAATTTAAAAAAAATAATACCAGCACTGAAACAAAAAATAGAAAAACCAAAACTAAAGAATCGAATTAGTTTGATTCAATCTGATTTTTTTTATTTCCCGATACTTATGCCCATCCCTATTTTTAATGCGGCTATTGAACACACCAAATTTGATGGAATGAGTAATTTTAAATAAGTGAATCTTCCTAGGCCCTGTTGAAGCAAAATTAATTAGTAACGTAGTCTAAATATATTTACATTTACAAATATATAAAAGATTGATAATCCAAACATTCTAGGCAAAGAATAGACATAAAGTATAGAGTAGTAAAGATGATGGCCCATTTGCCATGCGATTGCACAATGGCAACATTAATATAATTGGTTGGTGTCGGTAGTACTGTGGGATCAGCTAGAGTTGACCAAGTTTCGATCTAAAGAAATAAAGACTTGAGAGATAGCCGTCTTTAATTTTATGGGTATATATTTGGTCACAAAAATTACTTCCTCCGTCACTTTTTATATGTCATTCTCTTTTATAAATAATTGGTGTATAATATTTGTCATTTCATAAAATCAATGCCTAAATTACCTTATTGTTCCATTTTTACTCTTGTGAGTTATTAGTCTTGAAAATATACAATTGACCAACTTAGAAAAACTAAGTAAATGATTCTTGTTCATTGGTTAAATTAATTAATCAAAATAAATTAATTCATATTCATTGATTGAAAACTTGAATTCCAAAAAAAATTAAATAAGGGCAGAAGGGTAAAGTTACATCATTTCTTAATGCAAGTGCAAAGTAAAAAGATGACATATAAAAAGGGACGGAGGGAGTATAAGTATTGAAAGAAATGTTTTTAATGTTAAAAATGAAAAATGATATTTAAAATTTGGAGTTACTTTTTTTGAATTTGTGTTAGTAATTTGGAGTGAAAATATTTTTTGGTGTTTTCCAAATTCATGAAAATTTTAGAAATTTAATTTAAAGTTGAATTTGGAAATTTTATGATCCAACATGTTTTCCAAAGTTCATCTAAAAAAAAAAGGTAAAAAAATTCACGGCCAAATGCCGAGAGTATTCCTTTGTGCAATTCTTTTATATGTATTATTTTGAATTATCAAATATTGTGATTTATATTATAGTAAGTATTTTAACTAGGGCTGTTCAAAATTGAATCGAAAAAAGTTATTGGTTCATCGGTAAGGGGTTATTGGTTTAATGGTATCAATAACGGTTTTGATTTTTTTTATTATCGGGTTATCGGTTCTTAACGGTTTGAGATTTTTTCTTAATGGGATAACCGATAACTCAATAGTAAATTAATAAATTATATTTATACCATTTTGGTATATAAAGTCCTTGACTTAGGATTTAGTTTCATATTTTTATTTCTGACCGTCTCAAATATTTGGTTATTCTACAATGTGTTAGTGTTGTTTTTTAGCAAGATACAATTTATCAACTCATGTGCATGGTTTATTTGGTTTGTCACCATGTTTCACTGATTTTTAATTATTTATTTTTTGTGTCAAATCGTAACGGTTAAACCAATAACGATCAATAACCAATAAACTGATAATCCAATAATTTAATGGTTCTTATAACGGTTTAGAATGTTTACAAATCGATAACCGATTAATTGAACCGATAAAATTCAAAATCGAACCGAACCGACTAATACGCAGTCCTACTTTTAACATACTTTTAAATATGTAAATTTTATTTTATATATTATAAAGATTTTATGAAAAATAATTACTATTAAAATTAAGTACGATAGCCAAATAAATCAGGAGAAAGGAGTAGCAATATAATCCATTTTTGACTAATTCCATTGGTTCATTTAATGTCCCCGCCAGTTCCCCAACGGTTCAAACGCGTCAAATAAGCATGCATGCAGCTTTACACATTATAGTCATTAATGGCTTCAACTGACAAGCGAGTTGGGACTAATAATATTATCAAAAAGTTGTCAACTTGGCTGATCGAGTAAGCCTATATATATCTTCATAAATTCTGAGTAAGGAAGAGCACAAGTAACCTGATATATTTTAGAACCTTTGTGATCATAATCATGGGTTCTTCTTCTCAAAAGTGGGGTGTAGGGTTACTTCTTGTCTTGAGCATTTTCTTGGAATTGAGTGCCATCTCTTTTGGTGATGATAAACTTGATGAGTCGAGGTGGGGTAATGATAATGGTTGCGGTAGATTTGGTAGGAGAGGTTGCGGTGGACGTGGAGGATGGGGCGGACGCGGAGGACGTGGTGGATGGGGAGGGCGCGGTGGACGTGGTGGAGGTGCTGGAGGAGGTTTTGGAGGCGGAGCTGGTGGAGGAGGAGGTCTTGGGGGAGGAGTAGGTGGTGGGGGAGGTCTTGGTGGAGGAGCAAGTGGACTAGGTGGAGGAGGAGGAGGAGGTCTCGGTGGAGGAGCAGGTGGTGGTGGTGGACTAGGTGGAGGAGCGGGAGGTGGAGTAGGTGGCGGAGGAGGTCTTGGGGGAGGAGCAGGTGGTGGAGGAGGACTAGGTGGAGGAGGAGGTCTTGGTGGAGGAGCAGGAGGTGGAGGTGGACTAGGTGGAGGAGCGGGAGGTGGAGGAGGTCTTGGGGGAGGAGCAGGTGGTGGAGGAGGAGGAAGAGGTCTTGGTGGAGGAGCAGGAGGTGGAGGAGGACTAGGTGGAGGAGCGGGAGGTGGAGTAGGTGGTGGAGGAGGTCTTGGGGGAGGAGCAGGTAGTGGAGGAGGACTAGGGGGAGGAGCAGGTGGTGGTGTTGGTGGTGGTGCTGGAGGAGGTGTTGGTGGAGGTGGTGGCTTTGGTGGTGGTGGAGGAGGAGGTGTAGGTGGAGGGTCAGGTCATGGTGGTGGATTTGGAGCAGGAGGTGGTGTAGGTGGTGGCGTTGGAGGAAGTGCGGGAGGTGGAGGAGGAGGAGGAGGCGGTGGTGGTGGAGGAGGAGGTGGCGGTCTTGGAGGAGGGTCAGGCCACGGTGGTGGATTTGGTGCAGGTGGTGGAGTTGGAGGTGGAGCTGGTGGAGGAGTAGGAGGAGGAGGAGGATTTGGAGGTGGTAGTGGAGGTGGAGTAGGAGGAGGATCAGGTCATGGTGGTGGTTTTGGTGCGGGTGGAGGTGTAGGTGGTGGAGCCGGGGGAGGACTAGGAGGAGGAGGTGGACATGGTGGTGGAATCGGAGTTGGAATTGGAATTGGTATTGGAGTTGGTGTTGGTGCTGGAGCTGGCCAAGGTGTTGGAGTAGGGAGTGGGTCAGGTAGCGGTGGTGGTGGTGGTAATGGTCGATGATAGATCTCTCGTAGCCTAATAGCTACACTTCGGCAGTGCCAAGATACACAATGTTGCTTTTAACATTAATTAAAGTTGATAAGCTACAACTACTAATTAAACAAATGAATTTGTATGATTTAGCTTTTATATCTATTGTAATTTCCTTAATATATCATTCTCCAATTATGAAAAGAAACTATATATATATGAATCTTGTTAAACTACTCATTTTGCTTCTTAATTCCTTGGATGTTTCTTTCTTAATGGTTTAAATGAACAATAATCAACACTTCGTTTTGTCGATCCAGTGACAAGTGTTTCTTTTCCCTTTCATTCTTTAAATGTTGGGTTTTTCCCCTCAGACTTTCAATTACTCTGAGCTACTTCAAGTATACTCGATTTTTTTTAAACTAGCAGTTCAGAGATTTCTCCACAATGTTTAATGGATAAATTTTTTTGGAAAATGGGGGAAGAAAGTACCAATTAAATGGGAAATTGAACTCTAGTCAGCAAGGTGAAAATTTAAATAGTCAATCAATTAAACTAGTAAGGTTCCTTGTAATTGATAGATCTCGCTTAATTATAAGGCCAAACACATATGCAGATCTTTAAACTTATCCTAAATTTTATTTTGACGCTCCAACTCAACCTTGTTCCATTTTAACTCTTTAACTCCAATTTTTATGTTTCATTTTGACATTTCTAAGTGATGTGTGTGCATCACACTTTCTCTAAGAGAGTGAAAGACCAAAAAAAGTATTTTTTTTTAAAATAAAAAAAAATTAACCTTCAACTCTATTTTTTTTATGTACCATTAAACACAAACTACTAATTTTATGATTTCTATATATGCTCTTCAATTGCAATTTTGCATTTTAAAAATTGTCGTTCATCCGTTAGTTATTATAAAAAATTTAAATTAACGGATGATCATTGATTTTTTTTTTTTAAAAAAGTAACAATTAAAAAGTGGAAAGAAATTGCAAGATATTGCTTATGAGCTTGAAAGCAGGAGGTGTTGCCCTCAATCTTACAATTGCATCACATGTATGTATATATTTTCTTTCTCTGTGAACCGCTCTAAATTCTGAAGGCTTGTGCATATCTACCACTCTTCAGGTTCTTATTATTTGGTTCATTGAATATACAATTATGACTTGTATTTATCTGTTGAATAAGCACATGTTATGTGGCTCATCTGTTTATCTTTGCTAGGTTTTTTTAATAGATCCTTGGTGGAATCCTGCGGTGGAGCAGCAAGCCCAAGATAGAGTCCATCGAATAGGGCAATATAAACCAGTCAAGTGTGTGTCATATTTCTTCTACTTTCAATGCCATTGAATGGAGCTTATTTTTGTTTTCAAATTTGCAGGATTGAGAGATTTGTGATTGAGAATACAATTGAAGAGAGAATCTTAGAGTTTACAAGAGAAGAAGAAATTACTTTTTGAAGGGCAAGTGTCTTTTTCTTATAGGCGTCTACATAGTTTCATTTGTCTTGTGACAAAAATAAAGTATTTTGATGATTTTCCCTTGCAAGTTTTTTTGGTAACCAATGTAAATTACCATTAACAAACGAAAAACAAATACACCTAAAGAGCACTCAATCTCATAATCACCCTCTAAGAAGGGTATTAAGAGAGTTAAGGCCTCCTATATAGAACTCTAGTTACACAAAAAAAGGAACCTGGCAAAAACTTTGGCATATGGTTGCGTAAATCACCCATATGACATGTTAATACCTCAATCAGGCAAAGCAATTCCTCTCTCAAGGCTATTCTTGATCTCCAAGGTGTATTTTCCAAAGGCATGCTCAATCTTTTTATTGAAATGCTCGTTACGATCATTAATAGAGTCAATGTCTTTCTCTTCCTGGAACTTTCTCCTCCGATTAAGTGATTGACGCTTCTCATCCCTATCCTTGAGCTCCTTTACCATCCTCTCTATCTTGTCGTCTGATAGTTTTGGCGCCTTTCCATACTTGGACATTCCTCTACACTCTGTAGCTAGAACTTCTGTTTTTTTCTTCTCTACTACCATTGCAGATTGATTAGCTTTTCTTGCCACATTCATTTTTAACCTCAATTCAAATAACTTCCTCTTCCTCCCTGTTATCAGATTCACCGACTCTTCTCCCATATTACTTAATAAAGCAAGAACTCGTGTAATAAGACATCCTTATTTATAATACTAACAAATCAAATTAAACTAGGATTATAAAATCTATTCCTATATGAACTAGGACAAACAAATTCTAAACTATTTATTTCCTAAAAAGTTTAGGCAATGTCTTTTCTCTTTATTGTTACCTTAAGATTACAGTAATTTTTAGTTAATTTCTAGTCATTTATAATATAATATATCGTTACGTATATAATATAGAGCTTATTGCTAAATGAAATAAGACTTGCTTACTGTATTATAGAACATGCATGGGAGTTTAATTAACTTAAGCTATCTACAAAATTCTCTTCATCATGAAGAGAAAAAAACATGTCTTTCCTTCCTTATTTTTCAATAATTGTAGTGTCCGAATCAGTTTGTGCGTATCTCGGTTAATTCCTAGATATTAGGTGATTTTGTCCATTTAGACTAAAATAAATAAAAAGAAATTACCTAGTGTAAATATGTAAGATCGCCTTATTACCAAAAAAGAAAGAAAGTTAAACTATGAAAATAGTACATGGGATAACCTTCTACATTATTCAAGTTAATTCATGTCAGGACTCATAAAAGTAAACATGATAGACAGTGTGTGCGGTACGTAGAAAAATAGTTTATAAGAAAATTAGTAAATGTCAAACTTATTTTTTTGTATTTGATATGTAGTCTAAAATCATTTGTGAATGATTTAGATAAACTCTATAAGATGTGGAGGTGAAGGTAGGACTGCGGGGTGTGAGGATGGTGGGCTAAAGGAGGTCAGATGAAGATGAGGTATATTAAAGGGTGAGTAGGATACAATCAGTGTAAAATATCATTTGCTCTCTTCCCTCCCCTCTCTCTCCCTCGATCTTGCTGCCTCTCTCTTCTATGAAATTGTTGCGATAAATTATAATTAGACAAATTATAACTATTATGTTTATTCGTCCATTTAGGTTGTCATTTTTAGACCAACTATATGTATCCACCTTTTATCCAAATATACCCTATGACAATCTAGTTTATAATTTTAGCATTCTTTATGGTGTCCATGAATGAAGAGAGGCCCATCAGTCTAAAGCCCATTTTGGGTGATGGGAAATTCTTTTCATTTTTCTTCCCTGTTTTCTTTTTCTTATATGTTCATTTACTGTTAGAACATATACATGAAATTGAAAGAATCAACTCTAGAATTCATAACTTACCATGGGTATGCACCATTAAATTGAAAAATCAAATTAAATTGAATTGAATTCTAATTTGGATTTTTTTTTTTTTGGTTTGGTTTTGGATATATTGAGAAATACTTTGTTTGATTTTTTGGTTTGATTTCAGATTAGAAAAATAAAATCCGAAACCGAATAATACAAAATCAAACCGAAAAATCGCATGCACTTTTTTTTGGGGACTTACTATAATTATTGATAATTAATCATAGAAAATTTATTCTAAATATTATAAAGATTGTAAAATTTATTGAGGAACTTTCACACATAGCCACTCAAAAATAGCCTAATTACTCTCCATAGCTATAGTTTGATAATTACAATTCGTAGCTACATGTTATAGGGAGGAGAGAGGCGAGCGAGAGAGGGAAAAGAGTGGGAGAGAGGTGAATTATATATGTATATTGGTTAGATAAATGTATATTATACATATGTATTTGTATATATGGCAAGCGAGATTGGGAGAGGGAGGAGAGAGGCGAGCGAGAGAGGGAAAAGAGTGGGAGAGAGGTGAATTATATATGTATATTGGTTAGATAAATGTATATTATACATATGTATTTGTATATATGGCAAGCGAGATTGGGAGAGGGAGGAGAGAGGCGAGCGAGAGAGGGAAAAGAGTGGGAGAGAGGTGAATTATATATGTATATTGGTTAGATAAATGTATATTATACATATGTATTTGTATATATGGCAAGCGAGATTGGGAGAGGGAGGAGAGAGGCGAGCGAGAGAGGGAAAAGAGTGGGAGAGAGGTGAATTATATATGTATATTGGTTAGATAAAGAACCATCCATAGTTGAAGTGTGTTTCTATAAACATTCCATAATAATTCCATAGAAAATTCACACAACTGATAATTTAGGAGTGTTTTTACCCATTTTAACTCTAAAACTAATGGATTACTATTAGAAGAAAAAAAAAAGTTACCTCATATGGCAAGCGAGATTGGGAGAGGGAGGAGAGAGGTGAGCGAGATTGGGAGAGGG